AGGGACCGCCCGTGCCGGCACTCCGATATCGGAGGCCTGGAAATTGGCACCACCACCAAGACAGGGGGTTGCCTCCACAGGGGGAAGGCGATCCTAACTGTTCGGTGCTGGTGGTAATAGTTCGGCCACCTTGGAAGCCAAAATATTACCACCATCACCGAGATCGGGATCTTCTTCCCTCTGGCGAGGCACACCGCCGAAATTGGTGTTGGTGTCAATCTCTAGGCATGCGACAATAGGCCAACCACGACATGTTCGTAGAAGCCGGAAGTGTTCCACGAACAAGAGCAGCGTCCTTAGATCACACACACACACACCAAGCGCCAAAACAAGACAATCCCGGCCAGAAATGCTCCAAGAACACGTCGTGCAGACCACAAAAGGTTCTCAGAACATTCGTTGGTGGGCCTGTAGGCGAGCCAAGACGCTTCGCCACTGCTCGACTCGTGCCAGCGCTGCGGCAACAACCACCCGGCTTGCGTGTTGCAACCGTAAAGGTCATGATGCAAGCAGCGCGCCGGCGGGATCCGACGAAGCCCGAACGCAAAGACGCCTGCTGGTCTGGGCAGACGCGTGCCGGCTCGCCGCTCCAGCGCCGCCGAAGACGGCGCGGGGCACCCCACGACCCTCCATCACATGTTCGACGAACGGCGCACCGCGCTTCGAAACACGCGCCGCAACAACGCGTGCGAGCGGCAATGTGGTTGCGATCCTCACTTGTTGCTCGACAGTGGCCCCCGATCAGTCGAGTTAGGCTGCACCGCTAGGACAGCGTGCGCACCCCTACAATACGTGGCAGTAGTGCGAGGCATCAAGATCAAAATGCGCTGGCCGATCTGTCAGTATCCTGCTTCTGTCTCCTGCCGCGAGCGTTGCAGTGGACTCAGAGTGGACCGAGCACGGAGCCAAACGACCAACAGATGCGCAATCAAACGAGGACATCCTTGCGAATTCCCCCAGACCTCTGGGCATAGGTGGTCGAAAGCGTGTCCGATGGGCCTCTGAAAGATCGGCCCAGAGAGGCCGAAGGCTTCAAGACGGCTCCAAAACAGATCCAGAAGCGACCGAAGAGGGCCGCAGGAGGCGAGTTCACGTGCTCCAGGGTGCACCTTGTTTGATCGACGCATCCACGCAAGGTTTGTTTGCACGCGAGCCCCGAGGGTCTCCTCTCTCCTGCCTCTCCTCTCTCTGCACCTTCTTTTCCGACTCCTCTTGCTTCCATGGCAACCTCAACAATTCCACTCCTGAACATGTGCAGGATAATCCCGAGCTTCGGCTTGATGGCTGCCTCACCTCTTAAGCTCTATGGACTTCAGAGACCCCTAGTAAGGAGTGATTACTTATTCGCTCGGCGGCCTTAGTCACGGACTGGTGCCCCACCGATGAGGGAAACTAACTATGTTTCCCCCGCGGCGCCCGCCACGCATTATGACGCCGACAGCTACGACTACGATTGCGAATGCGACTAAGACAACTACTCGTACTTCTGCCTTAGTTGCTCTGTCACGGAAAAGCTTAGCTCAGAAACTTGATCCTCAGAAACTCCGTGTTCAGAAGCTCCATCCTCGGAAGGACTGTGAGCAACGCCTTCGGCGAAGAATGTGCCGATCTGGATTGCACTCCTCTTACAAACATGCTCAAAACTCCTATGTCGTGCAGGATTGCACAGGTGGCATCATTCCCTGTGAAGAAAAGATGCCCCCAACATTATCCAGCCCGCCCAACAGCAGAGGGAACATAATCTCCGCCACGACGAGGAGGTTTTAGGACTGGTCCCATTAACCGCCAGGAGAAAAGAGAGGGGAAAACTAAAGACCTCCTGGGGTTAGTTCCGCAGCGTGCTCTTACACACATTCTCTGATCACGGCAACTCGTCTAGCGGCCCTGTCTGGATGGAGATAATTTTCTATGTTTGCAATCGCCGCAATTACTGGCCCCCAGCAGCCGCCCCCCACCACGAAGTAACGTAACGATTTGTGCTTGCCTCTGACTTGTCCACGTATGCTCCTAGACACTCCCAGACGGCGCCAACGCGAAACGTGAAGACGCCTCCCACCCTGGTAACGCCCGTGATCGCCCGGAAATAAGAAAACCTACTCCGTCGTCGTGGCGAGGATCATCATCGGTTCATCGTCGCTTCATCGTGGCTATCGCGGGCAGCGCATCGTCGGTTCATCGCCGTTGCGAGACACACGTCGGGTCGCGCGGGTGGCGCCCCCTGCACGCACCACCGCCAGCATCGGCTGTGCACCGCAACGGCGACAACAACGGACCTCTGGGGATGCTCCAGTTTCTCAAGCCTGCTTCAAAACAATATGACACTATCGCCCTCTTCCTCCTTTCCCCACATTATCGCCCTCTTCCTCCTTTCCCTTCCTCTTCCTCCTTTCCCCTCACTCGCTATCGCCCGGGAATGAACAAAAACTCTGTCGTGGACTGGTGGGGACGTGCGAACAGCCACAAGTGCGGTGGGCCTCCGGCGTGCGAGCGCGACATCGCAGGCGGGTGGCGTTGGCCGCGTAGGAAGTCTGGATGGGGCGGGCGAGGCATTCTCGGGCCCCAAGAATATACACCACCACCAACTCCTTCCATTCCCCCTCCCTCCTCCATCCTCCGCTTTCCTGGAAGGGGGAAGGGGCGAGGGAGGTGGTGGTGGTGGTGGTGTATATTCTTCGGCCCCGTAAGGAACGAGAAAAGCCAGAAAAGCGAAGGTCGGGAACTCTTGATTAGCGTGTCGCGGCGGCGGCCCCAGCGACATGCTATGACCTGCGAGCGGATAGCGCGTCGTGTCGCTCCGCGCCGCGGGAGGCTGGGGAAGGCTCGGGACGAAATGGTTAGCGTGTCGGGTCGAGGCGTGATGGGGACAAACCAGCGGCGCGACATGCCACCGCCGGACCCAGGACGAGCGCCTGCTTGCCCGCCTTCGCAAAACGCGGGAGGCTCCCGAATCCGAGGGACCCTGCGTGAAGGTGTCGCAGGTTGGGGGCTCGGTCCAGAAGGAGGGACACTCCTCCTCCTCCTCATCCTCCTCCTCCTCCTCCTGAGTCCGACTCCAGCCTCCGAGCCGCTCGTAGCAGTGCCGCCATGCTGAGAACATACACACTCACGCTCTCAACAGCGTCGCACGATTGGCAGCCGGGGTCCGCCGGGGCCGTCGAACGCGGAGGAGGCACTTCCTGGCTGGGAGCAGCGCGGCATGCGCAGCATAGTCGCGAAGACGGCGTGCTCCTTTGCAGGCGCAGCGTTGGGGATGTGGCAGTACTGGGCAACGCACCCGAACATCAGACAGAACTCGGTTATCGTGCGTCGAAGTCGCGATAGCGGATGGGGTGCCACTTCTTGAAATGCTTTGAGCTGTGCTAGACCATTTGGCGACAGGGACGCCCCGCGATGAGGGACCAGCTGCGAGCCCTAACACCATACCTGAGTAAACAAGTTTGGCCACAACTTGGATGTCCCTCTACGTACTCGGGGAGGTTGTCTTAACCCACCCGCTGTGCTGCCTGACAAGGCCTTTGAACAACGAACCCAGCTAGTGGAGCTAATTTACATCTGCTGAATTTCAGGGTAGGTCGGCCACCCGTTTCGACACCCGAAAACAGTGGACTTCTTTCAACACGCTCAAGTGGTGGAGTGGTGGATCATACTTACTTTGTCATCTGCGCAGGCCCTCACGAGGCCCAGCTGCTTCTGTTCCATCAATGTTTCGACGTGTTTGACGAAGGGGGTGCGAGGCCACGGCGTAGCGGGTTCCACTAGCGGGGCAGCCGTGTACTATACCTGATTCGATAAATAGCACGACGGCCCTGGCTGACACCAGCTATCCGACGCACGCCACCTGGTAGTAAGGCATTCCCACGAGCTGGAAAAGAGGGGGACGAATGCTCAACGGTTTCAGCATGAGGAAGATCCAATGCTGGGCAATCGACGGGAACGCCTGACCGCAGTCGAATGAGATGAGAGCGGGAAACCTGGCCGAAAGGTTTGGGCGCATTGATGTGATCCGAGACTCCGTGCCGAGCCTGAGAATACTGCCTTCGAAGTTTCGTTTCGGCGCGAAGCCTCGCTGAGCTTCGTGAGCGCAGCTGGCGAGAGAAAACGTGAGCGGCTGGCTGCAGCCGAAATGATTATCTTGCCGTTCCTGTCGTTGTTCAGTCCAAACGGCTGGGGGCCGCTAAGATCCCGGATCGCTGTCTCTGCACTCGGCAAGAAGTACTACCGAGATCCGACTCCGGCGCGGCCGGCGCCTCGATGCCGCTGCCCACGCACATCTCCTCGATGTCGCGCAGCAGGCTGGCGGAGCCCTTCTCGGAGCAGTCGTTGCTCTGGCAGACGTACACCTCTTTCGGGAACCACCAGGGAAGGGGGGTGACCCTTTACCAGCCTGGAACATATCCCTATCCCTATGCTGGGCACCTCCTCATCACGATGCCAATCTTAGGGATTCTCCCTATTTTTGGAGGGCGGATCCCCAAGATTGTCATCGCCTTTTGGCGTGCCAATCTTAGGGATAGGGATACTCCAGATTTCGTAATAAAGGGAGGGGGGTCTCATTTCGGGGGGGGGTCTCTTCCAGGCTATCTTGGAGGGCCTGGGGGGGTCTGGGGACGATGTTTTGGAGGGATCTCCCACGGGGGAGGTCTGAAATGGCTTGTCTTGGAGGGTCCAGACCCCCTCCCTTTTATTACGAAATATGGAGTACGTTCGAGGCTGGTAGACCCTAAGGGGGGGGGCATGAGCTCGATCCGCTGGTGCACCGAACCTGCCGCGAACAGGTGCCCCCCGCATGCGCCACCCGTCGGCAACTACCGGGAGCTGCCTGCGGCCTGGGGGGGCTGCCTGCGGCGGGTTCGGTGCAAAAACCGATCTCTCTCTCTCTCTCTCTCTCTCACACCCTGGGGTACACTGGCCATCGCCATCGCACACCCACTTTCTCTCTCTCTCTCTCTCTCTCTCTCTCTCTCTTTCTCACACACCCTGGGGTACACCCCCCTCGCCATCGCTCGGACGTCCAGTCCCTGTGTTTTTGTCCGGTCTCGTGCGTGGTTTTTTCGCCACCGGATGGTCCTCGCCGAAGGAAAAATGCACACGTCCGAGCGATGCCAAATATACCCCCCCTTTTCGGGATCCCGACTCTTGGGAGTCGCTGCGGCGCCCCGACTGCTAGAGAACAACCGCAAAACTGCACAACCACAAACTCTCGGAGCTCCGCGCGAACTTCTCGAATCGGCGCTGGGCCTCCCTCCCTGGCGCGCGGAATGCGACAAGCGCGGCGCTTGAAAAAATGATTCTCGACGCATGCGGCCGGAGCTTGTCCGTGGTCCGTGATCATGTCTAGACTGGTGCTGCGGCGGCGGGGGACGGGCAGAATCGGCGGGCTGACGGGTGCACAGTCATGCCGCACAGGACGAGGAAAGAGGGGCGAGAGCCGATGCACACAGATGGAGTGAGGGAGGGGACACACAGGAGGGAGGGGGGGTAGGGAGGGAGGGAGGGGGAGAGAAGTATAGGAAACGCAGGAGATGGGAAGGAAGGTGGGAAGGCGAGAAGGGGCGGGAGGCAGGGAGCGAGGGCCCCAGCGAGAGTATGGTATGGATCTCTAGAGGCCACCCCTGCAACCCGACGCACACACAGACACACGAGCGCGTGCAGCCGTAGCCTTGCAGCCACCTCGATGTCCACCCTTCTCGGTCTGGTTACGTATCGTCTCCACTGAAGGGGCCCTGGGGCACACAAATAAGTACACACAAATAACAGGAGTCCCTATATTTCCAATATTTTCTGGGTGTTTGTCTTCCCCACCACTTCCCATAGTTGCCAATCTGTTCTGGGGGATGGACGATTCATTGTGTCTGTGTATTTTTTCCCCTCCTGATCTACTGCCGATGTTACATGAGATGTTCCACAAACTCGGGGCGCAGAAGCAACACAGTGGTCGCGAACTCTGGACGCAGACGATCAAGCGACTCGGGAGGGCTCTGCAGGCCGCAGAACTGGCGATCATTCGTGGCGCGTCTGTCCCCGACCAAACCTAAGAGACTTCATAATTGAGCTGCCAAGGCGTAGGGGCCAGTGGAAACGTGAAGGGCCAAGGCGCAGCGGCCAGCGGCATCGGATCCCCCCCTCCCTGGAGGCTGCGGCCCTGAGGCCAGCGCGACGCCCCTCCGAGACAGCGCGGACAAATCCAATAGACACAATCATGTTGGCCAGCGGGCGTGCACACACTACACGCTGGCACACTCGGGAGCGGCCAAGAGGGGGGTGTCCAAGAGGGAGGGTGCAAATCATGACCGGCGGCATGTGCGCGGCCCAGCGGGGGGGGGCCAGGGACGTAATGAAATAGGAAGAGGCGCCATGAAATCTGGGGAGACATCATGGCCCACGCCATGATATCCCCCCCCCCTGGTCATCACCCCCCTCTTTTCCGCCCCCGACACACGCGAGCGGAGGCCGAGCGTGCAAGAGGGCGCCGCCGGGACCGCACCGGCAGCCGCGCGAGCGGCAGTGGCCCGATGGGCCCTCGGCCGCTGCGCGCGCCTGGGCTTTCCATGGGCCCACCGTGCGGGCTTCGGAGATCTGCGCCGTCGCTTCCATCCATCCAATCTTAGGTCGGGCGTGCCCCCCTACGGGCGGATTTTGGACGACGAAAAAAATATATCCCCCAAAATGCCCCCCCAAATGCTCCAAAAATAGTCAAAACATCTTGCCCAGACTATTTTTGAAAATTCCCCATGTAGAGGGACAGGCCCGACGCTTCAAACTGATCATGAACGCCACGCTGCGCACGCGTCCAACCCCGACCATCTTGAGCGTGGATGCTGGGCAACGTTGCTCGTCGGTCAGAAGCAGTAGGTAATTAGAACCATGAAGCAGGAAGGCGTTGGAAGTCGACTGGGTTTCCGCCCCCCTCCTGAAGAGGAGGGGAGAAGGAAAACCACTCGACTCTTGAAGTAGGAAGGCGGCTGGAGTAGACTGGAATCTGGAAACCCCAAATTACCGAATTACTTTCAACGACCGATGGATGGGGGTGGAGCCCTGGGGAACGTCGCCCTGGAATCGGCGACACATCGCCGTGAGATTGGCGACAGGCCCCCGATGGCAGATCCGCCCGGCCACGGGCGGGGAGGCCTCTTGGGGCCCCGTCGGCAGTACATAACTGAGCGATTGAGGGTGGCGCACCCCCCCCTGAGCCCTGCCCTTAGGTCGGGCATGTCCTCCTACAGGCGGATCTTGAATGGAAAAAAGCCCAGCAATATCAAAAGATAGCCTAGCAGAGTCAAAACATCGTCCCCAGATAATGTTTTGCTACTTTTTAATAGACCTCCTGTAGAGGGACATGACCGACTTTACCCCCCCCCTGCGCAGCGAAAATATGACCACATCCACTGCCGCTGGATTGTGCTCCGAGGGCTCGGGGAGCGGTGGAGAATGGATATCGGCCGCCCGCGCCGGCGGGCAGATGTGAATATCCACCGCTCCCCGCTCCTCGAGATCTCAGGGCGCGACTCCGAAGCGGTGGATGTGGACATAATCTGGCGGTGGACCCCCGTCCAGTGATCCACGTCGTCTGGCTTTCAGGCGAAACGCGGGCCTCCGGCGGCCTTGCGGGGCGATCGGGGCACTCTCCCGAAGCGCTCGGGCCGGGCGAGGGGGGGGGATAGCAAAGGGGGGGTTTGAGAATCAGCTCGCGTAGCTGATTTTCCCGGCGCCTCCTGGCGCCGGAGGCGGCCATGTATCGAGGAATGGGCCCCTGGGTGGTGCCTAAACCAGCTGCATGCAGCAGATTTCGTACCCCCCCCTTTCCCAATCCCCCCCTTTCGTCCGACCCGAAGCGCGCCTGACGAGGCGGAGCTGCTGGAGAGCGTAGCCAGAGGCTGCCAAAGCCGCCGAGAGCCGCTGTGCACGCCCAACAACCTCGAGCCTCGAACCCGGAACTTCTCGCCACGGCTACAGTCGGACTTGCTTGGACAGAACACGCGAAAGGACACAAGACCCTTCCGAAGGCCACATTGCCATAGGAGTGTAAGAAGGCACGTGTCGCGAGGCCCAGGACACAAGGGTACCCATGAGCTGGCAGGGTCGACCTACAAATCAGGGCCGACTGTACAACGGCAGGTGGTCGTCATTTTTGCCAGGGCACCTCTTTTTTCCGACGTGCATCACATGCGCGACCCATGCGTCGCCGCACATCATGCATTGATGATGCCAGCGCGCCCAACGCCTGAAAACTTCTCCCCTCAGCCTATCCCCCCTGGAGTCGCTGGGCGCCGAAGGGCACTCGCCATCGCTCGGACGTCCATTCCCCATGTATGGTTCGATGTCGTGCGTGACCTTCTTTCTCACAGGACGATCCAGGATGCTTCTCGATGAGCCCCGCTGGGAGAAAACGCGCACGTCAGAGCGATGCCAAGGACATCATAAGACCATGCGCTGACGTTGGAGGCGCACGTCGGACACGAACCAGCTCACACATCCTGCAGTATGTCGCTTCCCGAGCGGCACGGCCAGGACCTGGCCATCGCTCGGACGTCCCTTCCCTGTGTTTTTTTTTCGGTTTCGTGCGTGGTTGTTTCGCCAATTGCTCAAGGATGCTCCTCGATGGTCCTCGCCGAAGGAAAAATGCACACGTCCGAGCGATGCCAAGGATCCCCCCCCCCCGCCGCGGAGCGCTTACCGCAGGCAAGATGTCTGAGCCTGCGCGCCGCCCTGGCGGAGCCGACGCGCAGGCGTCAGAAGTGTGGCCGGATGGTGCCGATGCTGCCCCTGAGTCGGAGGAGGAGCAGAAGGAAGAGGAGGAGAAGGGGAAGGAGGAGGCAGAGAAGGAGGAGGCAGGAGGAGGAGGAGGGACCAGGCTTCGTCACCGCCGAGAGGGACACGGGGGGAGTGGCAAAACAGAAGACCCCTCGGGGTTGGTTATCGAAGCTGCTTCGAGCGCGTGTGCTTCTGCACCCTGCCTTCCCCCCCCCCCAGTCCGTGACGCCAGACCCAAGGCACACGCGCGTCCTCGTGCGCGACCCCAACGGCAGCGGCGCCGCGGCCGGCACCCCGGCGCCAGAAGAGCCGAACGCCACTGCTCCTCACGGGGGCCCTCGAAGCTCGGGCCTGGCAAGAAATGAAGGGGCGTTTCACGGAGTGGCAAATCTCTGGCTGTCCGGGGCAACTGCGACACGCGAATCTGTAGTTACCCCTGACTGCCCCCAACGATGATGATTCCGGGGGGGCTGGGCGCCCGCATTATCCGGGAGAACTGGGGTCCGGGGCAACTCCAGCTTGGGCCTCCGAGGCGCGAGTGCTGCTACCCCTGGCCGCCCCCAGCCCTGGTGACTCGGGGCTCTGCGGGGCTGCGCACAGACGGGTCCCCCTCCCAGGCAGGCCCGGCTGGCCTCACCAGGCCCCCCAGAACAGCCCCCCCTTTCCCCCCCCCCCCCCCTTCCCCCTCGGCGATGGGCGGGGCGCAGCGGGGCCGCCTTGCACGCCATCGCGGGAGGCCCCGCCCGGCGATGCGCTCACATCTGGCGACGCCAAGACAGCCCCCCTTTCCGTGTTTGAGCCGGGAGCTGGGCGCGGCGACGGCGGCGAGGCCCGGAGTCCAACACCGCACCCGCACGCCTCCCCCCTCCCCCCCGGATGGCGGGAGGGCGCCCCCCCCCCCTTCCTACGGATGGCGGGAGGGCGGCGGGGGAGCAGGGAGGGGAGGAAGAGAAAGGGCGGGAAGCGAGGAACAATTCAATGGGGAGGCAGCATGACATGACACGAGGGCCTGCCCACGGACTTACATGTGTATATGTGTACAGCTATGATCATGTTTACGTATCTAAATATGTATAAGGCGTATGGTGTGTATATATATATATATACACATGTACATGCATATATGTTGGCGGTGCGCCGTGGCACGAACCCCCCCCCAGCACTACCGGGGGGTTTCGTGCACTACCGGGGGGGTTCGTGCAGCCCGCACCGGGTGCCGCCAGCGGCTTAGAACACCCCCCCCTTGCCGCTTTACCGGGGGGGTTCGTGCAGGCCGCATTGGGTCCTCCCCTGTCGCTTTACCGGGGGGGTTCGTGCAGGCCGCACTGCGTCTACCTGGGCTCCCCACCCCCCCCTGTGGGAGTGGGGGGGTGGGAGTGGGGGGTGGGTTGGGGGGGGGGGCAGGGGGGCGGTTGGGAAGGGTGGCTCCCTGTCGAAGTGTGGCGTGTGCTCGCCTTGTGTTCTCTATTCGCATCTGCTCGCCTTTGTTCCGCCGCAGCCTCTCGTATTGTGGCTCGTGGCCACAATACGAGAGGCTGCGGCGCAACTCCCGAGAGCCGCTGTGGGGGGTCGACGGCGCGGCCGCGTAGAGAAGAACAGTGCCGCTGTGTTCCGGCACGGCCCTGGGATGCAATGCCGCCGCCGTGTTCCGGCCCGTCGCTTACAGAGGGGTTGCGTCCTTACCGGGGGGGTTCGTGCAGCCTACCAGAGGAGGTCGTGTTTACCGGGGGGGTTCGTGCAGGCTCGCACCAGGAATGGCGCCAGCTCGAAACCCCCCAGGAGATATTACCGGGAGGGGGGGGGGGTCGCTCCGTACGGGGCACCGCCGACATATATGTACATGTACCTATGCGAGCACCCTGCGCCCGAAGCGGTGGGAAGGACCCCTTGGCCAAGGTCGGAGAGGTGCTACGGCTCCGCTCGAGCCGACGGCACGGCCAGTGCAACAACGCTGGGCCCGCGAGGCTATACTGTGCCCACGGCGCAGCACGTTCGCACTGAAGGGGCCCTGGTACACACAAATAAGTACACACAAGTAACAGGATCCCCCATATTTCCCCATATCTTCGGGGTTTCCGTCTTCCCCCCCGCTTCCCATATCTTATACTTTCCGGGGAGTCGACGATTCATTGTGTCTGCGTGTCTTTCTTTCCCCTCCTGGCTCACGCACGATCCCGCGCAGATGCAGAGCGCCAGCTCCGCCGTCCCGCGCCCAGGGCCTCGAGCACTTCCGCGCCGTCCTGGTGAAGGGGCAGACTGGCTCAGAAGGGCAGCGTCGACGCGGGATCGGCGATGGCATCGCCGGCAGACCGGGGATGGGCCCCCGATGGGCGGGCGGCACGAACCTGGGCGAGTTTTGGCAAGCGGGCCCCCATCGGCGATCAGGGGGCGGCTGGGGGTCGATGCGCCACCCCCGTGAGCCTATCCCAGACCGCGGTGTTTCACCCCCCCCAAAACCGAATCAACCACTTGATAAACACTTGCCTCCGCAGTTGTCCCGGCACGAGGGGGGCGAGCAGGAGGAGGGGGAGGAGGAGGACCCCCTCCTGACGTTGCCGAGGCGCCAACCAACAGAAATCCATCCATGCGGTCGACAAAGAAGATCCAGGCAGCGCCGCTCACCCTGCCGTGGAGCACCCTCTGCTCCGTGACGGCTGGGGCGCGCCATACGCTGCCCCTGACCTGAGCTCTGGATCCCCCCTCCCTCCTTTTTGGACGCCCGCGATGGGTACGGAAAAGACGGGCACAATGCCCAACAACAAATGTTGTCCCAAACCAACAGCGGCCGCTGTTGATCAGGCGGCCCTCTGTCTGAAATGGAGAGAGGCCGCGGCGGCGCGGACAACGAGTCCTGCTAAAATTGATCAGTAACTGCTGTTGGGCATTGTACCCATTCTTTCCGTACCCATTTCGGGCGTCCAGATCCTTCGCTGCCGCCTTTCCCTGCCAGTTCCGGCGGGAGCAGCTACCCGTGACGGCTGGGGCGCACCATACGCTGCCCCTGACCTGAGCTCTGGATCCCCCCTCCCTCCCTTCGCTGCAGCCTTTCCCTGCAAGTTCCGGCGGGAGCAGATACCGGGGCGAGCACGCTGTACGGGACCTGACCGTACGGGACCTGGCGGCCAGTCGGGCGCCAAAGAGGCGTGCCCACGAGATGAAGAAGAAGAAGAAGAATAATAAGAAAAAGAAGGAAAAGACGAAAAAGAAAAAGAAGGAGAAGAAGACGAATAATAATAATAATACTAATAATAATACTAATAATAATAATAATGAGAAGAAGAAGAATAATAATAATAAGAAGAAGAAGAAGGCAAAACGGTCCAGGGCAGAGCGCACAATGCCAGGTGCACATGTGGTAGAAGAAACTTCGGGCTGCGCACAGGCAGCCCGCTGGGTAGCCCCCGCTGGTCCCGAGTAGGCCGCGGCGGTCTCACCACCCTGGCGCCGCCTCCGACGGCGCCCCTGAGGCGCACCGCGCCCCGGGACTGCGGCATCGAGACCGCCCCGGGATGCCCTCGAGACTCGGAGCAGCAGCAGAGCACTGAGGCACTGACATGGGAGCGGGTGGCCATGAGAACACGTCCGCAACCTCGAGAGCGCCGAGATCGATGGAGCATAGCAGATTTACAGTCGACCAAACATTGATTACCTATGTAATGCGAAATCACTTCTTGCTACAGATGTCTCATTCTCTTGTCAGAAACACACGCGCACCGCGGCCGATGTGTTAGGACCGAACCAACTCCCTTCAGTCCCAGACTTTGCTGGGACATTGTTGTACGAATCTGCAGTTACCCCTGTCTGCCCCCAGTCCTGCTGATTCGGGAGGGTTGGACGCCCGAGTCATCCGGGCTTCTAGTTTGGACCCCGAGGCGCAAGTCTGTAGCTATCCCTGACCGCCCCCGGCCCTGAGAATACGGGTCTCTGAGAAGTGGTCATGTACTTAGAAGAAGAGAAAGCGGCTTAAACATAGACATTCGACGGTCCGAGCGGAATTTTTGGATCTGCTCTGGACCCCCGTCCCTGGCGCGCGGAGCGCACCAGGGGCGGCACCTGAGGCGCCGCCAAGGGGGGCCCAGCGCGGATCCAGGAAATCCGCGCGGAACGCCAAAAGTTTGTGTTTATGGCGTTTTCTCGGGGAGTCGTAAGACTCGGGCAGTTACGTGAGACTCGGGTTGGCCTGACGGGGCCATCACGAAAAAGACGAGACCGAATCTGAAATTTGGCGCGAACTCCCGCTGCAAGCCTCACGCGAAAACTGGACCGTCAAAATCCAGGACGGGCTCGTCAGGAAGCGTCGGTGAATCCCGAGTCCCGGCATACTCGAGCCTTACGTGTCCCCGACGCTATCTTCTGCGACGCGTGCGCGGCAACGGTGCGCCTGGAACCGCGGCAGGCCCGGCATCGTCAGCACCCGCGGCATCAGCCGCGGGTCGCTCGCCAGGCTGCTGGCGGCCTGCGCCCGCTGCTGGGGCTCCTCGCGGCGGGCTGCCGGCCCCGCCCCGCCCCAAGACGAAGCCAGGACAAGGATAAAATCAGGCAGGATATAGTTGGGCGTGGATCAACGGGGGGCGAGGAAGTTGCCCTCCTCGAGGATCAAATCAGGCTAGGATAAAGCTGGGAGTGGATTGACGGGGGGCGAGGAAGTTGCCCTCCTCGAGCCCGAGAGGACCCCCTCCTGGGCCCTAAAAGGGCCCCTTTGGGGGGGCCCTCAGGGTCCCTTGTCTGCAGCTCTCCCTAAGACGAAGCCAGGACGAGGATAAAGTTAGGCCGGGCATGTCCCCCTACAGGCGGATTTTGAGAGGAGGGTGAAGAAGAGCCAACAAACAAGCGATCAGAGGCAGTCCAACGAGCTCGAAACATCGTTACCCGGCTATGTTCCCCTACTCTTGAAGATTCTTCCTGAAAGAAGGACATGCCCGACTGAAGGATGAAATCGGGCTGGGATGCAGTCGGGCGCGTGTGACAGAACGGGGGGCGATGACTGCGGGGGGGGGGAGACAGGTGCCCCCCTCGGGCCCGAAAGGCCCCCTTCGAGGCCCGAAAGGGCCCCTTGCGGGGCCCTCAAGGGCCCCTTCTCTGCAGCCCTTGCCGCCCCCGCCACCCCGTCACGCGGCCTCCAATCAAGCGGGAATCTCTGAGATCCGGCGGCTCTGAAGATGTAGTGGGGGCCGCGGCCTTCTCGGAGCCTGCCGAGGCGCTCGGAGAGCGTTCCGCAACGCCCCGGAATGGCCTTAGCCTCGTCCTGGCCCCGCCCCCCCCCAAACCCTCCCCTCTCCCCCTGGCCACGTCACGATTCGAACCCGCGCCGCCTGCGAATCAACCATTCCTGAATACTCGCAGACTGCGCCGCCGCGCACCATAACCTTACCGGCCCCCTCTCCCCTCCCCCCAGTCGCGCTCGCCATCGCCATAGGATTGTCTCCGTGCAGAAGGCACATGTACGCCATCGGCCTCCGTGGGCCCTGGGCGGGCCCCAGAGCCGTCCGCGAGAACGGCTCGAGGGATGAACAAGCGGGCCCTGGGAAAAGGGTCATCACAGCAACATCAACAACAACAACAAGCCGTGCATCCATGAAGGACGCGTGGGCAGAAATAGCAAGTACAAAATTGCCGCGGCCGCAGCGGGCGCTTCTAGGGGGGAGGAGGTGGAAGAGGCAAAATGCTTCAGATGCTCAGGTGACCGAGGTTGTAGACGGATTGCGCCCATTGTGCCTGGGTCTCCCTCTGCGCCGGCGGAATGCCCAATCTTTGGGCGTGCCGTCATCACTACTGGGGAGCCCATATTGCAAAAACGCATGTCTGGGTACGCGAACACGAGCACGAGCCTCTGGGGCACTCTGCTGGCAAGGTGGATGCACTCTCGCTGCAGACGGTCTTCTTGCGGTACGGAGGGGCTGCGGCGCACCACGGCGAGGTCTTCGGCCAAAATGATCAAGCTCGCCCCTTGTGCGCAGGAAGCTCAGGGCGTCGGCTTCTTCATGAGAACCCCATTGCCCGTCCGTCGGAAGACACATGAAGTAGAAAGGCTTTGAAAGTGCATTGGGTTTCCGCCCGCCCCCTGAAGAGGAGGGAACAGAGACAAGCGTTCGACTCTGGAAGTAGGAAGGCGCCTAACATAGAATGGGATCTGGGAGACCACAAACACCTTCTTTCAACGACCTCAACGACAAGTGTGTATGCGCCCTCCTCAGGAATCTGGGCTCCCTCAGCCGCAAGGAGATGGAGTGTTCAAGGTGGCTCCCGCGTGGCTCGAGATGCAGGAGGAGGAGGGGGAGAAGTTCCTATCAGACATTCTGAGGCACATTCTTCGTGAATCTCTGAGGGCCCCATGGTGGCCCCATGCTTCTGTGGGTCCCTGGGGCCATCGGGGGAGAGACAGCTCCGCGGAGCAGCTGCTGGCAAGCAAATTGATTATCTGCTGTGCCCACTGGTGCCCGCGATGGCCGGAAAGGTAGCGTAACATTGCCCACGTCTGCAAAGATGTACTGAAGCCATGGCCAACGCCGGGTACAAGGACAACGCCACACATGCTTCGAACACATGAATTTCGGGCCAGGGCAGCCATGAGCTAATGTAAGAGGATTTCGCGCTAAAGCCAAGGCAAGGCAGATGTCTGAACACAAGTAAATGGCTAGCCTGAGCACCAATGCAGCACACCACACTACCTCTGCAGCATCGTCTAAACTATGATACACGTCGTTCCAGAACGCTCAGGAATGGATTCGTCCCCGTCCTAGCCACGTCCGTCCGTCCCTCCTTGGACGAGTTCGTGTCGTGACGACTTGTGCGTTGGGATCTGCCCGGAGAGCCTAGCATCGAATCAAGAAGTCGGATCGGCGATCGACATGAATCGGATCGGCGGAAATCGGCAGCCCATCCGGGAGAAGTCGGACAGGCGGGAATCGGCAGGCTAGAAAGGCATCCATTGAGATACCGGAATCCAAATCGAGATTCAAACTTGAATCGAATCGGAATCGAAATCGATCGGAATCGAACCGAGTCGAGTCGGAGGAGTGGACACGAACCCCTGGTTATGACACGCGTTGACGGCTCGACCTCAAACGATCGCGGCTGTCCGATGCCGCAAGTCGCACGATGTCCGCCGAGTGCGGGATTCTGGCGGCGTTCCACCCCGAGAGAGCCCGCGTCGAGGGCGACGACGACGTCGACTGCGACCACCACGACGACGACGAGCACGACGACGACGACGACGACGAGCATGACGACGGCGACGACGAACACGACGACGACGACGACGACGACGACGACGACGACGACGACGACGACGACGACGACGACTGCCGCGAGAGGGGGGCATCGAAGCATTCGGCCCAGAGATGGCCCCCAGACGGCCCAGGATGGCCCCCAGACATCCCCCATACGGCCATGAGGACCTCAAGAAGGCTCAGGGATCGACCTTACAGTGCCCGATTCTGGGCACAATAGGGGGTCGCGGCGCGAATCTGCCGTACGTGTCCACTGCTGCTGATGTGGGTATAGCTTCTTGGCAGGCGCGGCTGGGCCTGCGCCGCCTCCGTCTTCGGCAGCATGGGCTCGGCCTCCTCGGCGAAAGCCGCAGGAGCAAGTCATGCGAAGAAGCAAGCCCTGCCTACAGAAGATCCCCGTGCCTGCCAACTGCTGTCCGCGTGGGATCTGCATGTTCGCATGACCGGCTCTGTCGTTTCAGGCCTGGCGGCCACTAACTCCACCTGATCATGTCGTACTCTCACACTGCCCTCTTGCTGGCCTCCTCGGTCCATCGCCACTGGCCCTGCAACCTGTGCCTTGACTCCGCCCTGATACTGCAGACCCTTGCCCTGACCCGCGAGCTCGCCGAGGGAAGGCGGGAAAATTCGCGCCCCGCGAGAGCTGTGCCTACACTTCCGTGCGGCACGTCCCACGACCGTGACAATGAATGACTCCAAGGGGGCACGGGCAGCTGGCCACAAGCACCAGCCACTGTGTCTGAACACACGCTACAGATCACGCTCGTCCTCCTCGTCCTCCTCCTCCTCCTCCTCCTCCTCCAGTTCCTCTTCTTCCTCCTCCTCCTCTACAGATCACGCCAAGCGAGCCTGCCCAAGCACAAAATCAGACGGGTCAAACCACATCGCTGCCGATCGCGCCACCGACAATCAATGGAATCGTGACCGGCAACCACGCGAGCGGCTGATACGAAAGAATGTTAGACAAGCCCGTGCTGAATGATATGGTACGCAAGTGCGCGCTTTGCAAGAATGCGGCTGGAAGGCCCCCCTGAAAGAGAAACACACTTGAATACACATCTTCGGGTATGAAGTATGGGCAGTTCAAGCGGCCGCGATCTCATCAAAGAGGATGGCTGAACTGGCTACCACACTGCACACTCCACGTGAAGAGGGATCCCTGCATCGACCGACCATAACAAGCCAGACTTGGGGAACAAAAAGGTAACGATACCGCTACTTCCCGGACCTCGCCTTGGGTGCGTTCTGACCAAAATTTCTAGGAGAATCCAGCCGTGACGACGATGACTCTCCAGGACAAGCAGCGGTATCGTTACTTTTTCCTCCTCTGACAGAATGTCACACCGCTGCGGCGTGCACGAATGGAGGAAGAAAGTCCTCTTCCTCGTCGAATGCCTCCACCTTCCGGGTTCGTCGGGTGGCGTTCCTTGCGCCCACGGCTGCGGCGCTCAACGCACGACGGCGGTGATTAGACCAATATAGAAGAACAAACAACTGCCTAAACATAATGTCTTGGATGC